GCAAATCCCGCGTCCCACGAAGAAGAGCGTGTGCACACCGAGAGCCGGGCACCAGACAATGGACATGCAAGAGGGCATCGCACTCAAGACCACAACCGGCTCGCACGGCCGCACTTGGCAGTTGCACGAGCTGTCTGAAGTGGAGGGCGGGAAGCCTGCGCGTAGATTTTTGGCGTGAGTCGCTGCCGCGCAAACCATGTGGCCGCGAGAGCGCCGGATGGAGGGCGAGCGAGGTCCGAGCAGAACGCCAAGCGAGGCCGAGGTTTGGCAAAGCGAGGCTTAAGCGAGCATGAAACGATGCGTTTCGAGCGAGATTGCTCCGTCCTTGCATCTCGCCAAACACTCTCGCCACTGCAACCGCGCCAACCTCTTCGTAGGATACTGCCACGGCTGGACTGGCGTGAGGCGTTTTGCTGTACGGTAGCTCCGGAGCCGGACACTGGCCCAGTAGTCGGGGACGACTCAATATGGCGCATGCAGGCGTGGGCTGCCCCACAACGTTGGTGGGAGTATGGGGAGGTGGGTTGCGTTGGTGAAATGCAACCTCGGCGGTGATTCGGGTGCCTGGTGTTGACTTGGCAGCGTTTGAGGTGCAGTCGCTCGCACATTCATTCGGAGCGTCGGGCCGGCGTAGGCGTTAGCATCCTGCGGCAATGTATTTGTTGTCCGCTTGGGCATCCAAACTTGCCGCGGACGTCGGGGATATTAGCAGCCGCTTCTCGGAGCAATAAGTCGCGGCGCGGAGAGCGCGTACCGCCAGAAGCAGTAACAATAACTTACCGTCTCGGGCGAAATTGGCGGCAAAGCATTGGCGGTCGGCGGTCGGAGGAAGCAAGTGATGCCCCCCACATGAATGCTACCCCACGCCGAACCATGAGCAAGCTGGGTCGCAGAGACGCGGATGGCTTGGCGCAACGCGAAAGTGCACTTTGTCCCGAGCAGCGAGACGTGCCAAGAATGAAACGTTCGCCTTCACCTGCTCGAGCTTCCCCGAGCGTCGTGAGCTGCTCCTAGACCAAGATGAGCAGCTTCGTGCCCAGTTTGCTGTGATATGATAGCTTGGCTGGAGATTGCAGCTGCTTCCGTCCGAGCCGAGCTCATCCATGAAGTCGGCTCAGCTCATTTTGCTTATGCGCGACGAAAGGGTACACAATGCAGCCCTGCTGCCATCCCTCCATGTCGAGGAACTCCCGATGAGCTCGGCCGCTCGATATCGTAAGTAGGCATGCTTCGCTGAAACGATCCGACCGCAGAGGGAAGCAACGCGAGCCTTTCCGGATGGCTTTCCGTCGGAAGCACGATGAACGTCCACGCTCCATTCGTACATCACCTTCCGTGTCTTAGCCTCGAATCCGTCGGTGTGTGTTGGGCTTGGTTCGTGGTGTGAGTCGAGATGAATAGGCATAGAGACGAGTTTATTCCGACAATTTCGAGGCCATCTTTTGCGACTGCCTTTGTTCGGCCTGATTTTTTCAAGGCGTCTGAGAAAGCCCCTGAAATCGCAGGCCCCAGTCGGGGTGCGGGAGCGGAATGCGGAGATCACCACTCTGACCGCGAGCTGCGACACGCGTGCCTTGGGTGTTGCACTCGCTGCAGTGGCCGGTCTCTGAGACTAACGGCCATCATATTGACGCACCAAACCAGAGCAGCTGCTACAACACCTCTGAGTCGACCGCATCTCATGGCTCGAGAGCCTGCGAGGCGAGGTGCTCCTTCGCCCTCCGCTTCGCCAACGCCGTCGACCGTGGCTGCGTTTGCGATGCGACGAGACACAGCGTCCCCCTTTGCCTCCTCGCCAGCCTTCCGCGACGTTGCTTCGCCTATGAGCGCCTCGCATGCCTCGGTCAGCAAAGATGCGGCTCGTGCTACACTCTCGCCTCGGCCGATGTCGCCTGCAGCGTACCGCCTCGATGCTAGCGCCTCTGGCCCATCGTCCAGACCAAACGCATCTGCCTCTTTCTCATCGCGAAGCGCGACAAATGCGAAACTCGACGATGGCTTCTCCACAAGACCTGCAGAGAGAACGAGCATACGCTCTCAGCAGGGCGGTGACCAGACTCCCAGTACGCGCAGCAGCGACAAAAGCGCCGAGCGCTCCTTCTATCGTCGCGTGCTCTTTCAGGACCTGTCTCCGAACGCCGAGGCACCCACGATCACGCATGATGCCGACTTAGACCACGAGATCTACCTGCTGCTGGCCTACCTCTTGCGAGAGACGGTGCTTCCGTGGTACAGCAAGCTGACGCCCGACCGCGAGTTTCTCACTCAGGTCACCTCGATCATCACTGCGATCGTCCACACCATCACCGAGCGCCAGCTCTTCCCCGCCCAAGCCAACGCGTCGTCGCCTGCAACTAACGAGAGCGACATTCATGCTCCGCGTACGCCTGCTCAGTCGGACCTCGTCCGCATCCACGATCTACTCTCCCGCGACATTCCCCTCGTCCTGCGGCAGCATTGTCAAGAGTTCCGGCTAGCGTGTGCCAAGGCAGGCAGCGTATGGGCACCCCTGGGTGCCTCTGCAACCCCGCCAACACTGACGAAGGACGTGTCTTCGGTCGAGCACGACGAACAACGACGCCAGCAAGTCCACGAGCGCCTTTCTGCAGAATACCAAAGCGCGTTCTTGCCGTCGTCGAAGATCGACTCTGCGTCCGCTTCTCCTTTGCAAGTCGCACAGCTGCTCAGCGCGGCCTGCCCACATCCGGGCATCGACGGCGCGTCCGGCTCGCTCGACGGCAAGGTCGACTTGACGTATCTACGCATCGCCGTCCTCAACCTGCTCTCATCGCTGATGCCCGCCGACGAATTCACGCCCGATACGGAGAAGTTCATCGTGCGAGATGTGCTTGTCACAGTCCTACGGGGCGCGCTAGCCCGCTCATTCCGACCATGGTTCTTTGTGCAGAGCATGCACAAGGCTCTTGATGCAGCTGGCTGGCCGAGCCATCCCACACTGCCATCTTCCGAGCCAGCTCACAGGCTGAAGAGCGAGCCAGTGCAGACAGCAGACACGCCAGCTCCAGCAAGTCAGGTGACGGCATCGATTCTGACGCTGATCTCGAGACTGCCGCTGCTGCTTGTCAATGCTTGGACGTTTCTGGTGCTACGTGCGTTGCCGTTTGTGGTGCGAGCGTATCTCGATCTGTTCAACGTGCATCGAGAGGCCAGTCGCAAGAGACGAAGGCGGCAGCAACGCCAAGTGGATGGCGGGTCGATGCATGTGCGGACATCTTCGACGAGCCAGATCCCCCCTTCGCTATCCACCGGCAGCCTGAACGAGCGCAAGATGCATGGCCGCTACCCGTCACGCAAGTTTCAGTTTGGGCCGGACGGAACGCTGCTTGACCGCGGCAATTCGTCTGGCGCTGCGAAAGGTGTCGACGAGACGCGCGAGACCGAGCCAACTGGCACAGTCGCGACAGAAGATGTGGAAGAATCGCATCCTTTGCACGACTACGTTGGCAACTGGCTCGGCGCAACCGAAGAAATCCTGCAAGTCAGCTCGCACGCGCTGTTGCGGACGGCGTTTGGCTTCGTGCGGACGGCGCTTGGAGCATCTGGTATGGACGCGGTGCTCAATCGGATGATCGTGCGCAAGATCAACGCGGCGCTACGGGATACACAGACCTGGACGCGGATGGTGCAGGAGCTCCGGCGCATCCTATTGCCAAATGGACACTTTCCGCCGTCGGTCCCAGATCCGGATGTCGAGACGCAAGAGGCCGAGTGGATCCGACTGCGCACGCGGCTGGTCTGCAGTCCGTCGGGCTCGGCCGTATCGACTTCAGACGCACAGCAAGAGTCGTTACTGGCGCGGATCAGCAAGAAGATGCTGCTCGGAAGTGCCGGTACCAGCCTCGGGCGGGGCGATCGCGCGTCCAAGGTGCGCGACACGCAAGACCAACTGCAGACCGTCACCGCCTGGCTCGCCCCTTTCTGCTCTCCACAGGCGGCAGGACCCAACACGCTGTTCGCCATCCTGCTCTTCGAGCGGGTCGTTGTTACTCTCTGCCCCGATCTAACCATACCTTAGCAGCCCCACCAGCTGCTGCTGCCCGAAGATACCCGATCTGCACTCGACCGAAATAAACAATTCAGCGCTCTAACATCTCTCCTTCTTTTGAAACCTGTGAGGTCATTTTCGTCATGCACGCCGGTGAGCGCGACATCGATACCGTAATCCGGCTTTCACGCGAACTCTAACCGAGCTGTCCAGACATGCCTCAGCTGTCGCTTTTTCGGTGCCCAGAAAGTGGCTCCCGCGACCTGCTGACAAGTCGATATTCCATCATCACTGCCACAAGCGGGCAGCGCGCGATGCGAGCAGGGTTTTTGCCTCTATCAGGTGGCGATCCAAGGGCGAAGAACAAGTAAGATGGTTCGGGCTGACTCGAGAGAAGCTTTTGTGCGTGACCGGTAACTGGGCTTGTTGTAACCGGCGCCGACCCGCGACATCGCGGTGGGCAGGCTGTGGGTGATTCACATGCTCTTTGGCTGAGCCGGTGCTGTACCGTAAACTTGCCGACCGCCGACTAAAAAAGGGATCTGCAGCGAAGTTTTTGCCATTTTTCTCCGACACAGCGTGGCGGCCATGAAGAGATCGAGCCAAGGAAGGAGAATTTCCACTTCGCTTAGTCCGCGTGCCCTCGAGTATTTGGCCGGAACACCCGAACTTTTTCCTGCAAGCGGATCGACACGGTGCTCAGCCAAACCTGGCAGCGCGCGCGTCGGCGACACGATCACGTAAGGACCCCGACAGCCACTGCAACGGCTGACTCTTCTCACTCTCGGGATGTTCGCCGGTGGGCCTTTTGTGAATCAGCAAAACATGGATTGAAAGTCTCAAGCTGAGGTCGGTGCGGTGCGTTCGAGGGTGGGATTGGAAGAGGAAACTACCGAGGCTTGCAGGTGAGGGCGAGAAACGGCGCGACGATAAGGGATTGGATTAGCTACCGGTCGGCCTGCTTGGCCTGCTTTGCGAGCGCCGTCCGAGCCTCATGCGCGGCGGCACACGGCGAGCCGACAAGGCCGCTCAGTCTCGAGGCGAGGTGCCGCTCCGGTGTGTGCGGATCGAGCCGGGCGTATTGCACAGCTGCGTGCGTAATTCCTTCTCCAGTCCTCTGGAAGCCGCCTGCGCCCCTCAAACCCTGTCGAACCGTTCCAGCTCCACACTGTCTGCACGGCGTGACAGGCTGTCCCTCAACCTAGATGGCGTAGCTTGTAGACTGAGCGCGTAGACCCCACTTTCACGTCACCTGCAGGCCTGTGTTGCCGGCCAAGCCGTGAAACCCTGAGCGCAGCAGAGGGGCCCTGCAGCCAAATCATTGCCTCGCCATTGGCTCTGTCGCCGCTGCCTTGTCGCTTGCGTGCCACACCTTGGAGCCTGTCACCCTGCCTTAGAGTCTTGACTGCCCCGCATCGACGCTGGATCCTTCACCATCAACCATCACCTCTACGACCGACATTCAAGCGGCTCGTTCCATCTCCTCTCCCACTATCACTCGTCCCCACACACTTAACACATTCGCCATGTCGAAGACGGGAGACTTTGAAGCTGTCAAGAAGGACATCCTCGCCGTGCTCAAGCAGCCCGAGTACGATGACGGCTCCGCAGGCCCCGTGCTCGTTCGACTAGCCTGGCACGCAAGCGGCACCTACTGCGCCCAGTCCGACACGGGCGGATCCAACGGCGCCGGCATGCGCTACGAGGCTGAGGGCGGCGACCCCGCCAACGCTGGTCTGCAGCACGCCCGCGTCTTCCTCGAGCCCATCAAGGAGAAGCACCCGTGGATCACCTACGCTGACCTTTGGACGCTTGCTGGTGTTGTCGCCATCGAGGCCATGGGCGGCCCTCAGATCCCCTGGCGCGCTGGCCGCACCGACTTTGCCGATGACTCGCGCCTGCCACCTCGCGGTCGTCTGCCCGACGGTGCGCAGGGCGCCGACCATCTGCGACACATCTTCTACCGCATGGGCTTCAACGACCAGGAGATTGTTGCGCTCTCGGGTGCACACAACCTCGGCCGCTGCCACTCGGATCGCTCGGGCTTCGAGGGTCCCTGGGTCAACTCGCCCACGCGCTTCTCGAACCAGTACTACAAGCTGCTGCTCAAGCTCAAGTGGTCACCCAAGAAGTGGGACGGCCCCTTCCAGTACGTCGCCAAGGCGCCCGGTGCCGACGATGACGACGAGCAGCTCATGATGCTGCCTACCGACTACAGCCTCATCCAGGACGACAAGTTCCGCCCCTGGGTCGAGAAGTACGCCGAGGACCGGGACGCCTTCTTCAACGACTTCTCCAAGGTCTTTGCCAAGCTCATCGAGCTCGGCGTGTACCGTGACGAGGACGGCATCGCGAGAGCGGACAAGATGAAACAGTACAAGGGTGAATACAAGTCGGCGCCGCAGAAGCCGCCTGTTCCCGGCGCGCCAGGTGCGGGTAAGGACGGCGAGGCCAACCCGCTCGCACGCCAGAACAGAATCGCCCACCAGCAGCTCAACGCCAAGGCGAGGCTCTAGATCCTTCTACCTTGTATCCTGTTTCTCCTCAGCGTTTTGTGTATCGGTCCCGCAAATACAGTTTTGATAGACAGATCCTTTTGTACAATCATTCTGACTTTCGGTCGAGATCAGACAGAGTTGGAAGTTCTTGTCCGGAAGCTCGCCTGCCAAGTTGAGCGTTGAGCAACGGTGCCGAACACTTCGCTATAAAGCTGCGACTGAGCTAAGCCAATGTGGCGGGTTTACCAATCGTCGTCGTCTACAAAGACCGGTTCGTCGACATGCACGCCTCTTGCACGGTAAGCCCTTGCGATGTCGTCTGGACCTGGGTCCTGTTTAGCTTCGGGACCCTTCTCCGCCTGAGCTCTCTGCTGCGCCTGTTGTTCGAGCATCTGTTTCGCATTGGGGCCGATGGGCCAGGTGCCATCGACGTGCCAGCTGGCCTTGAGTGTTGCTACCACCACATCGAGTGGCAGTCCACGTCCCTGACCAGCTCCTGTGATGGGCCTACCGGTCTCGAGAGCGGCATGGAGCTTGCTGAGGATCTCGGGCCAAGCGACGTTGCACAGCTGCGCCTCATCGTCGGCGGTGCGTTGCAGCGTGGCATGGACGCGGGCGAGTGTCGCGATGAACGATGGACTTGCTTGGACGCGGCTCGGCACGCGCGCGTCCAGCCTCGCTCCAGCCATCACCCTCCCATACGACGCTACCCTGTGAAGTGAAAGCTAGCGAATGGACGAGATGGCGGAAGCACAAGGAAGCACACCGCTCGGAGTGCGGAAGTTCGGGGTGCGGAAGACTCTGAGCAACGGCAACGAAATCCATTTTCTCCGAGACTGGACATCGGGGAGGAACGGTGCATCGGGCTACGATGCAACCTGCTGGATTTGACCTAACAATCCTGAAAAATGCAAGGCGCCCCTGTCGGCGCCTGGGCGCAGCAGTGACAGCTGACAGACTTGTCTCAGGGGTCGGCTGCAGCGAGCTTTCTGGGCTCGAATCGTCCGTTCCTTCCCACCCCTGACGAGCTCTCGCTTGCCAATGACTCGTGTGTTGACTTCACCTGGTGAGGATCAGCCTGAGGGCAACATGCCTGACGCGACCTTACGGTCTTGGATGGCAGACGAAAGACGGGCACGGATGCCATAGTCTCAGCCATGAAGTGCTTCTCCGAAAGGGCGCTGTAATGAGACGAAACTGACAGGGGCCGCTGAGTCTGATACGCCTGCACCGAACATTCTGGGTGCAGAACGCTCTGACTTGTGCCTGAGCGCCCGTCGTGTCCTTTCAGAGGTACCCCTAAGGCGACATCGCTGCCCGCCGACGCAGCCGACATGTGCTAGACGCCCCTGCAACGCAGCCAGGCAAGTTGGGAAGCTCAGAGCTCCCGATGCTGTTCGCGACTTCCCCGCATCAAGAGTCCCGCAGTCACCTGGGATCTCTCCCGGTCATAGAATCGTCTTCTTGACCGTACACATCCCCACCATTGAGCCCTCATCACGACCTCTGCCACGACCTCGACCACGACAGCCCACCACGTCCTCCTCCTCACGGCTTGACGAAAGTGCACAACGATGGCGACTCAAGCACCAGCGCGCAGACGTGGCGCCAAGCTCTTTTTCGTCTTGCTTATTATGGGGATGCTCGCAATTCTGGCTCAGGCGCTTCCATTGCAGGACGATTCTTCTAATCAGGCGAAAGGCAAGCGCTCACCCATGCCGACACCTTTGCCCCGCATCCTCTCTCTCAGCCCGCGATCGACTCCAGACGAAGTATATGCATTCTACTCCCCACGCGACGTCGTTCTGGACGATTTCGCCGACTCAAACGGGCTCGAGAAACGTGGCACGCCGACGAAGCGTCAGGACCAGCCCTCGGTCCCGCTCTCGTCGCTCGGCCCACCCACGTTCCCGGCCAACATTCCCTCGTGTCCCAAGTGCGAGGAGCGCTACTCGTCGCTTTCATCGTGCATGGGTGCCAGCTCAGTATTTGCCAACGCCACGTCAATCTTTTCCGATCCGGTGGCGTACATCAATGTGATCAAGTGCGCCTGCACCGACACGTTCCAGGCGGTGTATCCGCAGTGCCTCGACTGCTTCCAGCATACGGACCAGTGCTACTACCTCGGCACGGACCCGCAGGGGACGGGCGCGAACAAGGTCATCAGCAACCTGCGCAGCATCTGCGGCCTCGGCTCGGCGCTGCTCGGCGGCGTGGCGAGCGCCAACAACAATATCGGCACCAACGTGCCCGTCAACCCGCCCTCTTACACGGATGTCTCCACGACGGGCGCGGGCTATAAAGATTCGACCACGGGCGCAATCTTCCAGAGCTCAGGTGGTCGCTCGATTGTGGATGATGCTCTGCACGGCCTGGGTCTCGCAGCTGTAGCAGTGGCAGCGACTGGTCTCGCGCTCCTGGGAGGTGCGGCGAGAATCGCATACTAAACCTCTACTTTGGCCGATGTTGGCCCCTCTTCGAGTTTTTGAGACGGACTATCCCTTAATGAAAGTCAGCATTGACGACGATGACTGCGTTTCTGCATGCCATGCTGGCTACTTGTACGATTCTCAATGACATGTGTGACATACGTACGAGCGTGGTGTCCCAGGGCCGCGTGCGGGAGTAAGCGGGCGGAACTCGCGCTGCATCGGCCCGATGCCATCTGCGGCGGAAAGGGCGTCTTAATCGGAGTGGGGGAAATTGGTTGCGCGGGGGGATGTGGGGGAGCTGGACTGGGTGTCCACTTGGGACCCTTTCTAGCCAGCCCGGCCTCCTCGCCGGGCGTGCATCGGCAAACACTCCACACGAACTTCGCACCATGTGTAGCCGGTGCCGCCGAGGCCGCCGAGGCTCTCTCGGTCATCTCGCGTTGCTCTTACACGCATGAGGTGGAAGAACGTGGGGTTGGCATGGGATTCGGACCTGGTGTTCCTGCTCCTCCTGCCCGCGACGCACGATGGGTCGAGCTGGGCTCAAGCGCAACACTATCAGGGAGAGAGCTCACCTTCAGTCCACTATTATATATTCCGTCCCCATCGACTCGCACCTGGCCTCCGTTGTCTTTCTCGAAAGCACCTGCCCACCTACTCCAGACATCGGACCCGTCACATCTTCCGGCCACCTTGCGACCCGCATAGTTTTCCTTGTCCACACGCTTCCAAAATCACACATTACCGACCCTCGACCATGACGTCTGACTCTTCCGCCGCCGCCTTGTCGTCGAGCGCTGCGGCCTCGCTCGTGGACAAGCTGATCCACAAGCTTCTACACAACGAGGATGCGGACGGCAAGTTCCTGCTCCCGCTCGACGATGGGCGCGTCATCGACACCAAAGGCTGGAATGGTTGGGAGTGGACACACGGCGTAGCGCTGTATGCGCTGTTTGAGCACCACGAGCTCACCTCCTCTCGCACCTCGCTTGCGATCATTCACGACTGGTTCGCAGCACGCAGGAAGGAAGGAGGCACGACCAAGAACATCAATACGATGGCGGCGCTGCTCTCTCTCGCGTGCGTGTACGAGCGCGACCCCGACTCACATCCCGAGTACAAGGACTGGCTCGTCGAGTGGGCCGAATGGGTCATGGCCGACGCAGTCAATGGCGGACTACCAAAGACACAAGAGGGCGGGTTTCAGCACATCACATACGACTCCGAGAACAAGGGCCAACTGTGGGACGATACGCTGATGATGACCGTCCTCCCACTAGCAAAGATCGGCAAAGTGCTCGGGGTGCAGAGGTACGTCGAGGAGGCAAAGTACCAGTTTTTGCTCCATATCAAGTACCTCTATGATGCAGTAACCGGCTTGTGGTTCCACGGTTGGACGTTCGAAGGACGACATCATTTTGCAGGCGCACACTGGGCCCGTGGCAACTGCTGGATCACCCTCGCCATTCCGCTCTTCTTCCACATCCTCGGCAACGACCAGAATCTCGCCGACCATGCATCGCCGCTCTCCAAACACTTGATCGGCACGCTCGAGGCACAGCTCGATGCGCTGCTGCCGCTGCAGGATCCTACTACCGGTCTGTTCCACACCCTGCTCAAGTACAAGGACTCGTACGTCGAATCATCCGCCTCGGCAGGCTTTGCTGCAGGTGCATTCCTCGCACTCCGATTTGGACTCGTCAAGGATGCCGACAAGCAGCTAAAGTACAGGACTCTGGCGGATGCCGCTCTGAAGGGCGTCATAGATATGATCGCCGACGACGGAGAGCTGCAGCAAACCTCGTTCGGGACTGCCATGGGTCACGATCTCGACTTTTACCGCAACATCCCCATCACCCCCATGCCCTATGGCCAGGCTCTGGCTCTGCTTGCCATTGTAGAACACATGGCGCTCGATGCTTCGCCCAAGGCCTAGCTCTCCGAGTTGCCGTCTATCATTGTAATGACAATCTATGATCCTTTCAAAATGGCTTAAGATATATGAGAGCGCCGCTGCCGTCGTATGGAAGCTACAGAGGACGAGGAGGCAGTGCGAGGGAGTCTGGAACCGTGTATCCATGCTTTGCATGTGCCTCCTTGAGCGAAAGCTTCTGGGCGCCCGTTTCGGAGTCAAAGTTGTCCGGGCTGAGCCAGGTTTGCAACGCCGCCTTGCGTTGCGGCCAGTCGTCGTCGATGATGGCGAACCAGGCAGTATCTCTGTTCCTGCCCTTGAGCACGAACATCTTGCGGAACAGCCCTTCGTAGGCGAACCCGTATCGGATGGCAGCACGCTTGGAGGGTACGTTGAGGTCGTTGCACTTCCACTCGACGCGGCGGTATCCGAGCGTGTCAAAGGCGTGGCTGATCATCAGATACACTACCTCGCTCGATTTGCGCGATCTCTGTAGGAAGGGCGAGAACATGACGTTGCCAATCTCGATGGTGCGGTTTGCAGGGTCGATGCGTAGGTATGAAATTAGGCCGAGGATCTTGGGTGCGCCGGGCGTGGGGTTCTTGTCTTGGATAGCCCAGAATACCATGTTGTTCTCGTTGCCGCAGCGGGCCTTGACATACTGTGTAAAGCGCTCGCGGTCGCCGTTGAAGGGGAACTCGAGCATGTAGTCCCATAGCCGCTCGTGCTCCGCCTGCCCTACGACGGGGAACAGCGCATCAGCATGCTCGGGCGTGACAGGCACAAGGTCGACATACTGCCCCGGGATGACGACGCGCGACGGATACGGCGCCGGATCCGTCGGAACTGTAGGGCCAAGTCGCACAAGCGCTTCCTCGTCGCTGAGCGTGATCATGATGGCGTAGTGGGTGGACGTGTTGAAGCAGCCAGCGCAGTGAAAGCTTCGGTGGAGGTTAACGGGCTGTCTGCGTAACGTCGAGTCAGGCACCAGAATTGCTTCTAAACGCCGTTTAAAACTCCGGCGACATCACGAAGCGCCCCTGCCGATATAGCCTCTTCACGCGCTACAGCATCTTCCACAAGGGGAAGCCGCCGAACGAGTGCGACCACGTCCGAGTCTGACTCGTGCTCTCAAAATCGTTGCTCAGGTCTGTTCCGGCCACCAGTTTTGCACGTCCCAAAGGAGCATCAAGGTGTTTCGCATTGGTTGAGAGAGAGATTCCACCTCTAATTGGAAGCGCTGGCTTTCCTCCCTCTCTTTGTGCCTGCCTTGGGCTGTGTGGCCGATGCAACAGGAATCTGCTCGTGATCCTCTACGAGCTCCTTCGACGGAGCCCCCTGAGCCAGCACTACGCGCTGCCCGTCATCGACCATGGCCGCCTTGGCGCGCTTCTTTTGCTGCGGCGTCAGAGCCACTGCTGCCTCTGCACCTTTGGCTTTCCCGTTCGCCTTCTTTGGCTTGGCATCGATCTTGCCGTTCGCCACGCCATCTTCGTCGACGTCATCGCCATCGACATCGGCCTCATCGACTGCTGCGCCTGGCTCAGTGCCGAAGGGGCGTCGCTCGCGGCCAGCTTGGAGTTCGGCACGTACCCAGGCGGCTTCCATGTGCATGTCGTCGAGAACTTCCTCGCTCGTCTTGACGTAGCCTTCCTCGCCCGGACGTGGCTCGGGTGCTGCTAGCTCGATGCCCTCGTCCTCGCCAACATCGGCTCCAGGTCCCGTGTATACCTTGCCCAGTCGCTTGGCAACCTCTTTCGACTTGGCGATGGCACGCTCCGCCTTTGAAAGGCTTTTCGGGTTCAGCTGAACGGGCTCGGCTGCGGCTTCCTCGTCTTTCACCTTGCCCTTCTTGGGCTCGCGCGGAAGCCGTTCGCCTCCGAGCTTGCTCTTGCGACCTGACGTTTTGACGCCAATGTCCTTGGCAGGCGGACGGAGCGAGTCATGCTTGACGGGCTGAAGGTCGTAAATGCGGTAGAGCTCGAGCACTGCTTGCTCCTTGTCCTTTGCTTCGATCATGAGGTGTGCGTCAGCCGGCAGATCGGGCGGCAGGAAGCCACAACGATCCGAGTGGGCACGACGCTCCCGCAAATTGGTTGAACCAGGCCGGGGTTCGGACAGATGGTACTTTGGCGTGATGCCCTTCTTGTGCCAAATCGCCTGGATCTCGGGCAGAAGCTCGGAGGGAGGGCGCGATGACGGGCGGAGCAGGTCGTGGTGGAAGTCAAACACCATGGGGATGTCGAGCTCCTTGCAGAGTGGCAGGAGCTCCTCGGCACTCCATGCCATCTCGTCGTTTTCCAGGACGAGGCGGTCCTTGACGTTCTGAGAAAGTCTAGTAGTGTACGTGTCGTGCATGCGCTGCAGCGTCGCCTCGCGGTCTCCAAACGTGCCGCCGCCGTGGATGATCATGACGCTGTCCTTGCCCATGCCCATAAGGTCGAGCATCTCGCAGTGCGAGGTGAGGTCGCGGATGCTCGCCTCAATGACTTCAGGGCGGTTGCTTCCCAGTTGTGTAAACTGGCCGGGGTGCATCGTGAGGCGATGTCCGAGCTTCTTGGCCAAGTCTCCTGCAGCGCGAAGCTCTTTCTCTGCATACTTGAGTGAGTAGCCATACTTCTCGTGCGATGCAAAGGGGAACACCTCAGACGATAGGCGCATGAACTTGATGTTGTTCTCCTCGTTCCATAGAATCATGGGTATCATGTCTCTTGCATTCAGACGTCCGAGCTCTTTGATGTAGTCGGGACCTTGTTCGTCCATGGTCTTGATGCGGGCGGTGCGGCTGGAAAAGATGGGTGGATCTTGCCATCGAAGGACTGTGTTCAGGCAAGCGTAGCCCAGCCGACCGATGAAGCCATTACTTCGCTCCTGTCGCTTCTCAGGCGGACCTTCGAGGCTGAAATTGCGCTTGGGCACGTCGGGAATGTCGTAAATGATGTCCTTCTTCTTGCGTTTGGCGAGACGACGCCCGTTCTTGTCTCGTCTGACCGGATCTCCCTCTTCGTCGAGCTCGATCTGATACTCTTCTCCATGCACATTGACTCGGGTCTCGAAATGAGTCGGTGTCTCCACTTTCTCTTTCTTGGCGGCTCCCTCACCGCGCTTTTTCCGTGCTGGTCTTGCATCTTCGGACTTCCCGTCGGCAGGGCCGAGTTCGGGGGAACCGGCTGCTGAGTCAGGTGACGGCGATGGGGTTGCCTCCTTCTTGGTGCTCCTGGCTCTGGGGGTGGGTTTGCTGGTTGCGGTAACAGCCGTTTGACTTGAGCGGACACGCGCAGCCTTTTTTGGTGGTACCTTGACAGCCTTTGTGGCGCGGCTGGGCGGCGGTGCTAGCTCGGAGGCTGCCGCATCATCGGATGACGATCCGGCGTCAGCGTAGCTCACCGCAGTGGTGGATGCGCGTGCACTTCGACGGACCATGTCGAGGTGCAGGCAAGCCGGAGGAACGCTTCTGCGGACGATCGAAGCACTTGGAGTGTATGGCAAGCTCTGAAAAGCGGTCTGCCAGCAGTACCGGCGGATCATGTATGCCGCTGCAGGCTGCAGCTGTACGATAGCAGTAGTTGCTGGTGCGCCCTGATGAAATGGGCGAGAAGGTTGACCGTGCTGGTCCTGCTTATCGTCGCCGGGAGACACGGATGATGGTGAGGAATGAGCGGACGGAGGACGAAGGAAGGACGAGCCAGGTCCGCATGTTTCGCCCGCACGTCCGCAAGAAGAAGCAACGGTGGTGGCCGCGCATCAGTCACGCCCTGCAGCGGGAAGTGGCATTCGAATGCCATGAGCTCATTGCGCGTGCCCTCTCTTCTTATGCAGGGTCTCCCGCCGACTTGCAGAAGTGGAGGAAGAGTCACATTTTTTTGGTGGGTCAACTTTCCCGCGCCTACGGTCTAACAATTGAGCGCTCTGTGCACCCGCTTACCAATCGTGCGCAGCTTAGGTGAGAGAAGGCCGCAAGGGCCACCGTCTTTTTTTGCAGCTGCGGGACTCAACTATGCAACCTGGCCCTGCATGCTCTCTCCGTCCTCATTCCCCATCCCATCGCCTTGATCGTCGAATTCATAACAGCATGTCTGCCTCAATGAGGGCCCCGTCCACGAGGGCGATGATCGTGAAGCTCCCTGCTTCTTCACGTGCCAGCACCACATTGACTCGCGCAGTCCAACAGCGCGCCCATTCGAACTCGTCCAAAGCGAGGTTCTCCAACGACAGCGTTTCAGCACGAGCTTCCCTGTCGCATAACGCTGGTGGCAGGGGATCCCGATATGCCACGGCTGCCGCGGCTGTCACTGCAGCTGCCCTGACGACCTGGTACTCGGTCTCTTCACCCGTGCACTCGGAAGCGGCTCCTTCCGTTGCGCCTCTCGGGGGTGCATCACCTCCTCTTGTTTCTCAGCAGGACCAGATGCGCGATCGTGCAAGGCTGCAGGGCGTCTATGCTTGGGGCTCGAACCGATATAACGTCGTCGCTCCCGACGCACCTTCTGTCACGCTCATTCGCTCGCCTCGATCCATTCCTTTCTTCGACGGAGTGGCGCTGCGAGACATCAACCTGCAGGAGAAGCATGGCGTGGCCGTGGATGCCAACGGCGACGTGTACCAGTGGGGTCTCGGCTTCTTTGATCCCAGCGTCCGCGAGGTTACAGCCGTCGAAGATGTGCCCCTCGGCCGAAGACGCGAGAAGGCCGCCGCCAACCTCAAAGCTCCCCTCGCCAACACTGCCAGCCTCGTCCTCAACCCGGTCAAGACGCTCACCGGCAAGAACATCATCAAGGTAGAAGCCACTGAAGAAAAGATCTACGCTCTCTCCAAGGACGGCCACATCTACGTCTTCTCGGCCGTGCAGCAGCAGCAGGCCAAGCCCAAGTACCCGGGCTGGTCCAAGAACCCCTTCACGCTCTTCAACGCCTTTGCCAGCTCGACGATCGACCACGAGGTCCTGCATCCCGCTCCATCCGCGCACTGGGGCAGTACCGAGAAGGTGTACGACATTGTTGCCGGAGCCGACCACCTGCTGTCGGTCACCAACAAGGGACGCACCTTTGTCACGCCGATCGGGGAGGAGGCTAATGCATTCGGTCAGCTCGGCACTCGTCGCGTCTGGCTCAACTCGCCCAAGACGCCCGACAGCAAAGCGGGCCATGTCGAGACTCTGCTCGAGCCGAGGGTATTTGCGGAGCTCGAGGCCAACCACGGCGGCCGTCCCATCGCGAGTCTGGTGCCATCCGACTGGCTTCCAGCTCCTCCGACCCAGACCAACCGCACGTCCAAGCCCCAGGCGAGCTCCGAGCCTGCGTTTGAAACCAGCACCGACCCTGCGCCACCGCCGAAGCCACTCGCCGAGCCGGTCAACAGCATCCGCTGGTGCACCACCCTTCACGAGGTGCCAGCGCTGCGCAAAGTCAACGTGGTCCAAATCGCGGCGGGCAATGAGCACTCACTGGCACGCACCCACGACGGCCGTGTGCTTGCCTGGGGCCGTCACACGCACGGCCAGTGTGGCCTCGGCACGAGTTTCAGCATGGAGTGCGTGCCCGTGCCGACCGAGGTGGTTCTCAGCAGGTCCTTCTCCAACAGCTCGCTCGATGTGCGCGCCACCTCGATCGCCGCCGGCGCCGACAACTCGTTCTTCATGACCACGCGCAGGGAGGCTGGCGGCAAGTTCAAGATCGACTTGCTTGCGTCGGGCAAGGGTCAGTGGGGCACGATTGGCAATGCGATGTGGAGTCAGGTTGTTTCGCAGCCCTCGCGCGTAAAGACCGTCTCGGGTCTCATCGAATTCTCGGAAGCTACAGGACAGACTCATCCCGTCCCCATTCACTCCATCAGCGTTGGCAAGCCCGGTCATGTCGCGCTGGTACTGGACACGGTCGAGCCGGACGGTCACATGGCCTTTGGTCGTGACGTCATGGTCTGGGGTGCCAATGCCGGGTTCCAGCTCGGTGTGGGCAAGCGATCCAACCTCGCCGTTCCGCAGCACTTGAAGCCTCTGCCCGGTCTTACGACGGTTGCGGGAGGCAACATCATTTCCGAGCAGGACGGTCTGGCCGTATCGCCAGAAAAGATCGCGGCGCTTGCAGCACCCAAGCCAACGCCGGCGTTTGATCCCAAGCTGCGCGAGGCGGACCTCAACTCGGGCGCACTCACCCACATGCCTCACAACCGCCTCCAGCTCGCCTCCAAGACCAAGACCGACACTCATCTCCCTCCCGCCATCTCGCACAAGGACCAGCTCAACCCCACCGCCACCACTGCGGTTCAACAAGGAAAGACCAAGAAGAACGTTCAGATTGAAGAAAGCATCAAGGCCGGCACCGTCTCCACCGTTGTCTTCTGGAAGATCCACGAGTAGTCGCGCAGGCCTTCACAGCACGCGTAGTACCACCAAAGGAATGGCATTCATGTGTTCACATTTGCAGAGAAAGTTGGCTGTGGGAGGAGCGATTGCATGCATCGAGTCAATTGGCATAAACCTTAGAGCGATTCTTGTTTAATCGTACTGGACGACCCAGTCGCCGGTCTCTTCCTAGGAGGTGGCTCGGATTCGACCACGTCGCTGGCGGGTCTCTTCTCACCAGCACCGCCCGCGTCAGGGGCGGCAAGAGCCAAGCACTGCTGGTAGGTTTCTTTGACCTGGTCACGGACGACGGTCAGCCTGGCGAGGAAGCTCTCGCCCTCGGATCGCGAGATGGCATCGAGACGCGGACGTCTCTCGCTGGGCAGGAGAGACACCGAGCGTCTCCAGAGGTCGATCTCTGCCTTGATTCGCTGCAGTGCTTGATAGAGGGGAGTCCTCTCTGCAACGGGGTCGAGGATTTCTTCGTCTGGGTCGAAGAATCCCTCGAGCGTATCTTCGCGAGCTCGGATCGTGAGCTCCCAACCGTTCTTCGAGGGATTGGCGCAATCGTACACAAAGTACGCCCCCGCTTCCAGGGTAAGCACGAAGTAGGGCTGGCCACTTGCGATGTAGACTGCTTGACCCGGCTGCTGGTGGAGGAACTGAGGTCCGCTCAATGCTCGCAACAGCGCAGTCGTTGTCTTGAAGGTGTCCTTGCGGTCCATGACTTTGGCGTTGGAGTCGGACCTCTCGAAGGTGACCACAAGGTGCGAGCCGTGAGTGAGCACTATAACCGCCGAAGTGAGGCTCTTGTCGATGCTGACAGGCTGTAAAGCACCAGAGCTGCTGACCAGAAGCGACCAGTCCTCGGCAAAGACGGCGTACGGCGACAAGGTCGAGAGCCCGCTGAACATCTCGGCCGTGGCCTGTCTTTGTCCCGCCTGCGCAATGCCATCGGCGATTCTGTAACATTTTGAGTCCGAAGTCACCATCACGATTGAAGGCGTTCGGAGAACGACCTGAGTGTCTGCATCGGCTGATATGGCCTGGATGAGGCGACTCAGGGAACGTTCGTAATCGGTGTCGGTGTCGGAAAAAGTCATCATGCACGGGATGACTTTCAGGCGAGCACGGAGCTCGTCGCAGATATGTTGGACTTGCAGCGGGGACTCGAAGAGAAGGCCAGATGCCCGGGTGTCAAACTCCAACTTTGGCTCCAGCCGTCCGGCCCACTTGATGATCTTCAGTCCATCGCTGTAAGCTGTACTCTCGAGTCCCGACAGAGTCTTCCAGTAGTTCTCGAGGTCGAAAGACGCCTCCTTGCCGCTCGAGCGGACGGATGAAGGACGCGGCTGTCCTTCGATGGTCAAGTCGTTGTGAGACATCCTTGTAGCACGGGCGTCGTTGCGCCGGATGGTGATGGCAGTGGCAGGTTGGAGGCGGGGATAGAGCGCGCCGCTCAGCCTCGGTCTTCCTGTGGCAGATTCGCTTTGGGCTCTCTCGAATTTGGCCGATTCACACGAACGAGCAGCTCGCGGCTCTGCGCAGGATTAAGCTTCGCGCTCCCGGAAAAATCGAATGGATGGGTCGAAGAGCGGCTTGGCCGACCATCTTTGTTTGCCTGCACCAAAGACAGACGACTGCCACGACTGCCAAAACGAGCCGCTCTGCTCGGCGAGAGCGCGGTGCAGTCGCCCGTCGCTTCTGATCAGGCGGCTGGCACATCTTGACTGGCGCGATGCATAGCGATGGCAGCTTCGTTCTCACGTGGCGGAAGCCACAAATTGTTGTGTCTCACCAGATCTCACACTTTTGAATCTCCGCCGAGAAATCTCCCAGTGCCGGGTTTTCTCCGAATCAAGTGCCGGTAGATGCGCATGTCGCGTCTTCTTCTTCGTCCACCTCATCCTCCCTCTCATCCAAAGAGATGCGACCCGTGACAATATCGACAGTGCCCTTGCGGCAGCTCTCTGCTGGCCTGAGAGGTCCGCGCTCCACATCCTTTCCACCTTCGCTCGCTCCAAGACTTCCGCATGCATCTCCGTCCTCGGCATCGTCCACACCTGCGGGTGCTGCGCCGCGCCGCCCACTCTCGACCTCGCCAGCACCCAGGGCGGCAGGCAGCACATTTGTCAAGGCGACCATCGCGCTCTCGCTCGTCGGAATCTCGTCCTACCTCTTTGGATCGCTTTACCCTCCACAGATGCTCAAGCTCATCTTCAAGCCTGCCACGCCGCCCAGGCTCAGGAGCGACGGTCCCGAGGCCGAGGCGCATACGCGCGAGATCGAAGATGCTCTCCACTCGCTCGCCATCGTCAAGCAGCTCAAGTCATCGTCGGTAGCGCACGGCTCTGCAGCTGAGCTCGAAGTGCTGCGTTCGCAGGGCAAGCACATCACCGATATTGACGAGTCCACGACGGTCGAGGTGCCTGCCAGCGGCCGCATCCCTGGCGCCAACGTCGCCGTGTCCGGTCCACCGGTTGAAGGAGGCGCGGCCGATACACACCAGTACGTCATGACGCGCCCCTACCTCAAATACAGCCGTGAGAAGGCACAGCACAACCTCACTGCCGGCTCGCTCCGTGGCCCCGGCATGGTGGCAGTGCCGCCTCTGGTCTTCACCAAGACTGGTGTCGGTGCCGAACAGCTCGGCGGCGCAGAGGGCGACAGCACCATCTTGCTGCACCTGGGACGCAGCGTATGCGGCCACGACGGCATCGTTCACGGCGGCATGCTCGCGACGGTGTGCGACGAGGCGCTGGCCCGAACGGCCATGTACAATCTGCCGGGTAAGATCGGCGTCACGGCGCGCCTCGAGATCGACTACCGCAAGCCGACGATGGCGCACCAGTTCATCGTGTTGCAGACCGAGCTCGTCGAGAAGAAGGGCCGCAAGGCCGTAGTCAAGGGCACGCTCAAGGACGTCGACGGTCAGCTGCTGCTCGAGTGCCGAGCCATCTTTGTCGAGCCCAAGTACGCAAGGTACTTCCTCGATGCAAAGGGGATCAAGCAGGCGATTGAGGGATAGACTTCCTGCAACCTTTGCACGCTCGGTGTAGTGGATAGATGGTGCAAATTCTGCTCTGGTTCATGTGCTTCTATATATCATACATCTCGGCAAGTCGAATTTCATAGAGTCGAAGCAAGGTCATGTCCTACCCCAGATGCCAAAGGCGTTTGCGAGGCCGTGATGCTCTACGACGAGATCGAGCTTCTGCAGGTGCGGTTCGCCATAGAGCTTGGTGGCTTCGTCGGCGATGCTCTCGCCCGTACAGAGGAGGATCTTGGCGTCGGGCTTGGCGAGCAATTTGGCGGTGGTGGCCACCTTGGTCTGCGTGTCGACGTTGAGGAAAGGCGGGTCGGCCACAAGCACGTCAAACGTTCCCAGCAGCTCTGCGGGGATCGCCTCGGGCTCGTGGAGGTTGTAGTACACGAACGAGGTCTTGCTGAGTGCGTGGAAGCGCTTGTCGACTTCGAATACAAAGGCCTGTTGTTTGAGCGCGGGATACTCGTGCACGAAACCCACCCATGCTGTTGGGCAGCAGAGGAAGCCAACACGAGCATCTCCAAATGCCGACTTGATGGCAGCATGATCGGACGAGGAAGGAATCGACGACGACGAGACGAGCTTGAAGATGAGCTCGGAGAGCTCGTGTACGAATTTGGCCGAGTACCAGAATTGTGACAGCTGCCAGCTCTCGCCGAATGTCTTGCGGAATGTGTCTACGTCAAGTGTACTCGTGTCGGCGTTGCTGTCTGCGTCTGTTGCGGCCTCGTCTCCCGAGTTGCTGCCGGTCTCGAGGCGCGAGGCGAGGTTGGCCAGCATCGAGTCGGCGGAATCCGGTGCGACTCCATTCAGACGCTCGAGGTCAGCGATGGCTTCGATCTCTGCGAGCAGTGCTGCCTCTGCTTTTGCTTCCTCGGCCTCTTCCTCTTCCTTGGTCAGCGGCTTGGCGGCATCTTTGGCTTTGGACTTCTTGGACGAGCGCTGTCCTGATTTGCGCGAGGCGGACTGGGTGAACTTGAGCAGCTGCGCTTCCTCGGCCGCCTTCTCGGCGCGGAACTTGTCGAGAGCGTCGAGCGCTGACGTGTCCAGATCGTACTTCTCGGCCTCCTCTGCCATCTTTGGTGTGGAGTGTCTGACTTTCAGGGGTGATGTCGAGCCTTGGGACGGGCAAGGATGAAGGTTTGTCGGTCACAAATTTGAGGTTCGCAACTCGGATTTCGGGCTGCGGAGGAAACCTTGCTTCAAACTCAGGCCTCCACATGCTTTCTTCTCGAAGCTGCTTTGTGGTGCCCGCTCTCCCTGTGGAGAGCTACATGGGGTTGGCTCTCTGTCATTCCTTCCTGAGGCTTTGAGCAGGACGGCTAGCGAGATGTAGAGCTGGCTAGGGGGTCACGATCTCTCTACTTTGGCAGAAGCTCGGAAGGTTCTGCGAAAGGATTTGTTCGTAGGTGAGATCTTACAAAATCGGGGCCTGGCCGGCGCTTTCTCCACACGCCTGCGTTTCACGCACCGCTTCCGCACACGCAGTCCCGCACCGCACCAGACCCTGCACAGGCCGGCCAACCAATCGACGCCACTTCCCTCGACTGTCCATCTTTACGTTGGCACTACTTCCAGGAGACAACGCCAAGCGCTCATATTTCAGCCTCACTAGCTCAGGATCGCTTCTGACGCTTTCGTCAGATCGGCACCCACAGCTGACGCTCGACCAAGATGCCAACGACGTTTGCGCAAGAGCAGGAGTTCTCATATCCATGGCACGAGACCGCAAATGGTAAGTCCCGCCCCTCTCATCGACATTCTTGCGCTCAAACAAGCTGAATCGCGCCTTGCTTCGCTAGCGGTGTGGAACAAGTATCCGAACCCGCACGCCGAGCACGTCGTCTCGGTGGATGTGATTGACCAGAGCATCGACCGCCAGTCGGGCCAACTCCGCACGGAGCGCATCATCGGTGTGCGGCAAGGAGCGCCCGGCTGGGCCAAGCGGCTCATCGGCGCATCCGAAGACACGTACGTGCGCGAAGTGGTCATGGTCAATCCATTCACCAAAGCCGTGCAGATGACCAGCACCAACCTCTCGCTCTCGCAGTACATGCTCGTCAAGGAGTACATCACCTACACGCCGCATATCGCCACCGACCATCAGCTGCCTGCCACGCTCTTCAACCAGGTCGCAGACATCAGCTGCACGGGCCTCACGGGCATCCTCGCCAGCGCAGCGCGCAAGGTCGAGGAGTGGTCCTACACCCGCTTCCGCGACAACGCTGCAAAGGGCCGCAGCGGCCTCGACAGCGTCCTAGAAGCCATGTACGGCTCCCCCTCCAGCACACGGTGACCAGCACAGCAAAAACAGAAATCACAATGTCACGGGAGAGCATAGACGAGTAAAGCGGGACTGTATTGGAACCGTCGGAAGTGAAGGAACGTGCCACGAAAAACGAAAGGGAGACTCTTGTCAGACCTCGGCAGCCGCATCTCCGTCCTGCCTCCTCTTGTGCGCTGCGCCGCGGTGACGACGGACCTGGCTAGCGGTGCGCTTTCCGATCGACCCGAGCAAGTTGCCCAGCGTGTTTCCACCTCCCTCTGGCAGCTTGAGTCCCGGCAGGCTCGAGAACATGGGCACGGGGGCATCCTTGTCAGTCTTGCTCGGCTGCTTGGCCTTCTTGGGCTTGTCCTTCTTGGGCGGCTTGACATTCACCGCCGGTGACTTGTACGACGCCTTCTGCGGCTGGTCCACGAGGAATGGGTGCGCCTCGGTGTTGAACACGTACTTGTCCAGGTTGGCCACCTCGGGATCGGCAAAGATGAGATAGAGGTACTTGAACGTCTCTGCGTACAGGAACGACTCGGAGTCGTCCAGCTTGGTGGGCGAAGTCGAGTTGACGTCGGCCAGCGCAGCCAGTGCGCCGTTCTGCGTGACGAGGCAGTTGCGGTAGATCGAGTTCCACGCATTCCACGCAATCTCCTGCCACCGCGCATCGCCCGTGGTGCGGTAGGCGTAGAAGACCGACTCCATCACCTCGGGCCGCAAGATGTACTGCGTCACCTCAAAGTCGAAGCCGTTCTTGCGGTAGAAGGCGGCGTTGTTGATTCGCACGCCATCCGTGTTGTTGTTGGTGCCGATAAACACGAAGCTCTCAGGCCCAATGCCCGACGGGCTTGCGGTGTATGTGTTGGCGCATGCCGCCGTCAGCGCCTGACCGTACTGATCAAACGCGTCCTGGCCGATCATCTTGGCGCCGAGGATCCAGTTGCCACCAGCAAAGCAGCCGAGATGCGACCAGCGAGGCAGATTGCCGCCGTTGGAGGCCGAGTAGTCGGTGAGGTAGGTGAGCTGCTTAGCCTGCGTCTGCTCCGGATGCTCAATGAGATGCTCGATCGACGAGCTCACCGAGTTGACCCACGTGGGGATCCACAGGCTCTGGTCGTCGCCCGTCAGGTAGGCGTACTTGATGAGGTACTCGAAGAACGAGTCGCTTCCTCCGCCCCACGTCACATAGTCGTCCTTGGGCAAACCGGTCTTGGGGTCGTACACCTGAGGGAACAGTCCGGGGAAGACGCCCTTGGACTGCGCAATGGTCTTCATGCTCTTAGTCGCGAGCTTGAGGTACTTGGGGTCGCCTGTGTACTTGGACAGACGGTCCATCTCGAGGATCAACGTGCCGCCCTCGGCGATACCGGACGAGGTGCAGGCGTCGGGAGTGGCCAGGTTGTTCCACTTGAGCGTGTTGCACGGCAGCGGATTGTTGCCAAGCCATCCCGTGATGAGGTGATCGCCCACGACCTTGGCCTGGTCGATTAGCTTTTGCTCCTTCTTGCCGCCGAGCTCGTACGCCGAGATCAAACCAGCAAGGTAACGGATATTGGTCTCGAACAGCGAGATGGTATCGGACGAGGTCTTTGTAAAGTCGATCTTCTTCGAGTACTCGACGCCCTGGTTGTAGAGGTCCATGTGGCCCATGAGGAACGAGGTGCTGAGCGAGTCGACGACGCTAGCACCCCAACCACCAAAGGGGTCGGTGAAGCCGTTGGAGAGCGGCAGCAGTGCATCGTGACCCGTGGCGTACTTGAGGTAAGCCTGGTACGAGGTCTTGTAGGCTGCCTTGATCTGATTGGCACGAGACGCCGACGTCTCCGACTGCTTCAGACCGGGCTTCTGGATGGTGACCGCCTCCGCACCGAAAGGCGCCGCGACGAGGAGAAGCGCCGAGAGCAGCGCACCAAAGTTCTTGGAAAGCATGATGTCGAGGTACCGCGACTAGCAGGTATGCACTGCCAGTCGAAAGGTGGATGATCTGACGGGTATATATAGCTCTACGAAGAGGTCCAAAGTCGATCACGATGCGGAGATGCGGAGACGAGAAGCGCGGGAAGAGAAACAAGCTCAAGCGGTGTCGGAGTACCGCAGAAGAGGGACGATGGTATATGGAAGCGGAAGAGGGACCTTGGGAACAGGCTTGAAGGGGCCGTGAGAGATATGAGCCATCTCATTTTCATGGCGGAGCCTCTTCGCCAAGGAAGAGCTTAGCGTGCGCAAGAGGGGCGGTCTAGCGAATTGGCCGACAACAAAGGGTGCGTCGCACCAGGCCAGGCGCTGAGATGGGGCTAGCGAGGGCTGCGGGATCGACGGGGTGTGCGCCGGCTGGCTGCAGCCGCAGGTCCAAGCGACCTCGACACCAAGCTCGATTGTGGGACAAGGCGAGTGCGAGCATATGCGGGAGAAGAGGCGCTCTCAGCTGGCGGATCGACTCTGCAGCCAAGACAGCTGTCTGGAACTGCGGACCCTCCGCAGTGGAAATGCAGAGTGCAGCCGACGAAGAGAGTCGCATTCCAAAAAAGAGCGCCAGGTGTTGGGGTGGGTGTTGGGTGGATGCCAGCGGGGACGCGTCGAGGGTGTGGCGAACGCGCCTCCTCTCTGGTGCGGCGGCAAAGCGGCTAGCGAGGCTCAAGAACGCAGCCGGCATGCGTGGCGCGCGTCCAAGCGAAGGGGAAAAGAAATTCCTCAGCTCGCTTCGGCTCCCAACGCCTCACCACCCCTCCAATTTGCGCATCCTCCCCTGCATGGGCCTGAACGCTGTCACTGCTCTCGCCTTACCATGGCCCTCGTCTCTGAGCCCCTTGGCGGCCCGCGTTCATCTCGATCCAAAGCCGACCCGCAACTCCACCCGCGCTTCCACTCAACTGCCAGGCTGCGTCTGAATATCAATGACAATATGAATTAATGAGCGAGGGTGGATCGATTCGACCAAGGCCAGAACGAGATACAGACACAAGGGGCGCTACAGGAGAGACCGTGAAGAGGAGACTGAAAATTGGGTATGTATAAATGCTTGCGAATGGATCAAGCATCGTCGAGAACGAGAATCACGACAAACAGAAGCACCGAAAGCACCTTGATGAGAGGAGACGAGATGAGCAGAATCATCAACAGCATCAGGCCGAGGAACTGCGCGTTGGGCACAAGAGCCATTGCGCTGCGTTCGACGCTCGAGTCGCTCGCCCTGCTGTTTTCTCCGCCTGCCAGAGTGGGCAACCGATCCGAGACGCTAGAAGAAGACGAGAAGGAACCAGCGCGTGAATTTGCCTGGCGATTGCGCACCGAGTAGGTCTTGGTGGGAGGCGACGAGCCTTCAAAGCCAGGAACGCGCTGCAACGTCCAGTACGACGCCGGCATCGATCCGAGCCACGACGACCTCTTCTTCTCGCTCGCTCCACCGCGGGACCGACTCCCAACCGCAAAGTAGTCGGTCTCCGTATCCGATGTCGCTGGTGTCGAAGCCGGCGTGACTGGCACCGAAGCCCACGGCGAGGCAGACTGGCTCGACAACGCCGATCCACTCGCGCTGCCATGAGCCGCCGAGGCCTTGCGGCGCGAGGCGCCCGACAACAAATTCTGAATCGCTGTGGGACAGTGTAGCGCACCTGGGTGTCGAGACGGTAAGGAACCCGGGCCTGCCACTCGCTGTCCGTCCGCATCCACCTCACATCCCCATCGCTTCCACTCCGGCGTGCTGATTGTCGGCACCGCCGAGGCAACGACGGGACCAGAGATGGTTGCATCCATGCCTGAGCTGACCTTCCTTGCTTGGACCGCGACCTCGTTTCCGACGACGCGCTCTTCGACAGGACAGTCTCGGCTTCATTGCGCCTTGCTCGCCTCCTTGCTGCTGGCCAGCTTCTGGTTGGCAGCCTCGATGATCTGCTCGGCGGCGTCCTGGAACGCCTGGCAGATCTCCTCGGCGAGATGCGCAAACTCGGGCACATCGTCGCAAGACACGGCGAGCGAAAAGTCGTTGGCGTACGAGATCATGCCAATCGCCATGGTCGACTTGCCCGGGCTCGAGGGCGGCAGCACGTGATAGCTGTACGCCTCGTGGTCACCAAAGCGCACCGGCTTGGGAGGACCGGGGACGTTGGTAGCCACGTGGTACTCGCGGAAGGCCCGGTAGTAGAACTGGCGCAGAAGCGGGTAGTTGGGCAGATACGTGATGCGGTGCTTGGAGGCGGCGTTGAACACCTTGAAGAGGATCTTGGGGCCGTACGAGCGCTTGATGCGGCCCATCTCGCGATGGACCTGGCTGAGTTGCGCCTCAAAGTCGGGATGCTCCTCCTTCTCGAAGCGCAGCCACGCGATCGAGCCGGTGGTGGCATTGCTGAGCGACCAATCGCCCTTGGGGCGCACCGAGATGGGCACAAAGATCGCCACACGCTTGTCCTTGTGTCGGCGGCTGGGGTCGACGCGTTCCGAGGCGATGCGGAGCGCACGGGCGAGGATGGCCAGGGCGACATCGTTGAGGGTAAGGTTGAGCTTCTCGTTGCCATATGCCTTGCGAATCATCTTGATGTCGTTCATGTCGATGCCCTTGCTGTGGCAGTAGCGCCTGCCGGCGACACGCTCACGCTGCTCCTGGTAGAGGAACGATTTGCGGCTGCGGAAGTAGAGACCGCGAACGAGGTGGAAGCCGTGGCGGATGGTGCCCCAGGCCGTTGGCTTGTCCTCGCGCTGTCCGGGGCGCTTGTTCTGTGCGGTGTTGGAGTCGACCTTCCTCTGGATATCGCGGATGCCAATGCCCTGCTCGAGTGCACCGAGAGCAGCGTGATAGCTCTGGATCATTCCCTGACCATCGGAGAAGCAGTGGTGGATCTTGATCATCAGGGCGCTGCGGCCGCCGTCGGAAGTGTTGAGGCCATTGACCAGAAGCGCGCCCCAGATGGGCTTGGAGTAGTCGTAGTGGCTGCCGAGGAAGTCTCCGGCGAGCTTGTTGAGCGCGACGTCATCGCCACCGTCGGGGCACTGAGCAATGTGCTTGATGTTCTCCTTGATGTCGAAATCGGGCACGAAGCGCCAGCGGGCGGGCGAAAGGAGCGAGCCTGCCTTGAGACCCTTGCCATAGCGGGTGCGACGCCCCGCATCAAATTCGCCACGCGGAGGCGAGGTGCCTGGCATGCCACGCAGAGTCTCCTTCTCCTTCTTCTTGGAAAGCTTGGGGTCGAGATCGACGACGTAGCGGTACTTGGGGTAGGTCTCGGCGAGCACCTCGAAGAAGTTTTCGACCGTCTCGATGTCTAGCTCGGTCTTGAACATGTAGATGGAGAAGCACGAGGTGGTGTACGAGTCGTCCTCCATGAGAAGCGCGATGTTGTCGATACCGGTCATCTTGTAAAAATGCGGCTTGACCGGAGAGCCCTTACCGAGTTTGGGCGTCTCTCCGTATGCGGCACGGAGGTGGCGTTCGCGGGCTTCGCGCGTCTGCTCGGGAGAGGGAAGCTCCGCTTCCTCGCCCCTTCGGAAGGCCGCGCCCTGTGCTGCAGCTGTGCCGACATGCGTCTTTTCGCTGAAGGGGGCCTCGGCGGCCTCAGAGGCAGCCTGGTGGTGACGGCTGTTGCGCTTGGAAGAGCGGCGTTGCTTGTCGTCATCGACGAGAGGAGGGTGAGACGAACGAGGCGACTCCTGAGGGCTGATACGGCGGGAGGATCGGCGGCTGGTCTTGGCCTTGCGGTCTCCGGCGTGCGGAACCCGTCCCATCTCGCGATCGGCAGCTTCACGCAGACGAGCGCCTTGCTCGGCAGCCGTGCCTCGACCATGCACCGGTGCAGTGGTGTCGGTCATGTTGGAGTTGACGGGGAGTGGATGGGACGAGCTAGTTGGGCTCTGCGGCGGGGTCTTGACTTGGCGAGCAGAGGAGGATCGAGAGCCGATAGATGAGCGGATCAGAGACGGTGTGCCTGCGGGACTGGACTGGTGACGATGATGGGAGTGCTGGTGGATGGAC